GCTATGGCCTCAGCTGCTCAGGGGCACAGAGGGGGCAGGGGTGGTGGGAGTGGGTTGCATTTTTCACACCAACACATGCTCAGAGGGGTCTTACTCTGGATCCCTTGGACCTGAGGAGAGCTGGGACTCCATGTACCAGCTCTGGCCAGATCCTCTCTGTGGGCCAGAAATGAGATTCCAGGCAGGCTTTGGGCTGAAGACTGTGCCTGGCAAGGCTTTCTGGAGCTGCTAGTGTACAAAGGCCAACAGAGTTGCTGTGGAGGTGTAGCTGGGGCAGGGCTATACACCTGCTCTAGGTGACCCTGCTTTGGTGGGGGAGTTGGACTAGATGATCTCCAGAGGTCTCTTCCAACTCTGTGATTCTGTGAATTCCCCTTCTAGTTCACACCTACCTTCAATCTGTCTGGCTCAGCACTTCTGCTCCCCAGGAGGTGGCTGACATTGGCAGCTGATGACAGAGGATGTTGGAGATCCTGCGGGGATCCGGCTGCAATCCTGGTGCTCCTGGTGCTGGTACAGCTCAGATGCAAGAGACGGTGGGCAGTGGGCATCCCACACCATGGCTGGTGCCAGGGCTGATATCATGGAGGTGTCCATCTGGAGGTGTGGCAGGGTGCCGTGGGCTCCCTGTGGTGGGAGCAGTGCCCCATTACCGTGTTGTGCGAAGATGTGGAGCTGCTGGACTCTGTGCCCTGGGGAGAGCAGGGGACAGAGGAGACCCTGGAGTAGAGGTTCAGCACCTCTCGAGGTGGGATTGAGAAGATGTGGTGCTCCAGCAGCCACCATCAAGCTCCCACAGCTGTGGATCCCAAGGAAATCCGAGGGGTGGGCATCCCTGCTCTCCTCTCACTTGGCAATCCTAACCCAGTCTGCCCCTACTGTTGGGGGTGGGAAGGGGGGGTCTAAATAGTCATGGTCTTGCTTATCTCCAGTGTTTTGACCTCTGCACAGGAGCTGATAGAGGAAGGCAGTGGCTGGATGCTGCTTGACTGGAGCATGATAAATATGAAGAACAACACGACACGGTCCAGAACTCACTGGGCGGCCCAAGCCGGAGGCTTGTTTTGTTTTAGTGTTTTGTTGTCTCTCTCTCCCCCTCTGGGTTTCGTGGCGCTTGAGCTGCAGGGCTGGAAAATTATTCATCCAAACCACAGCTCCCTCGACACCCTCTGGAAGCATCTGTGGCTCCAGACTCCACTGCAGCAGTGGGTGGGAGGTCGTAAATTCATCATCGTCACCAACTTGGCCTCCTGTCAGGCAGGACGTGGAGCACAGAGCAGTGGGCTGTGCCACGGTCACACACTGTGTGACTGTCACAGCCACACTGAACTCAATGGGCAGAACCTGTCGGCCAGTTTGTGTGACAAATCCCTGTCCTGGTGATGAGAAGGTCCCACTACAGCTGTCAGAACAGCTGTGCTTTAGCTGCAGTTGTCTGCAGGTTCACCTTGGCTGCTGGCTCTGCTGGAAACACCGTGGTGGTGTGTTGGCCAGATGTGAGGGCTGAGGGATCGCTTGCCCCTGGACTTATGGAAGCTCTGCAGACAGCAACATGCCTCTCCCACCATGGCTTCCACTTCCTTCCTTGTGACTCGGAGCTGGTGCCCCTTGTAGCTCTCTGCCACCAGCCCTGAGTGGCAGGGACTGCTATCTCTGTGCACAGACGCACAGCAGGCCCAGGAGCACTTTCCCAAGGGACTGTAGAAAGATCCTGGTGCACAGCCCACCTGCTGAGGCAGAGGGACAGTGATGTGCTGGACTGAGCTCCAGTGGGGCAGGTGGCAGCAGAACTCACCCCACCCCTTCCTCGGTCGCAGCCACCAGCTGAGGGTGAACTGGGGAGTGGCCAGGTTGTCTCATGGGGATGATGTTCTGCTCTTCTCCATGAAAGGCAAGAGCCCACAAGCTGTCCCTGGGAATGCTGTCCCATCCTGAGGCCTCTCTCCTGTGCCATCAGCTGTAGAGCAAGACGCAGACTTTCTCCAGAGGGAATAGGGCTTTGAGCAAATCCTCAGGCATAATGACTCTGAAAGCCATAGGGTAGCTCTGATTGCAGAGAAACAGCAAAGAGAGACTGGGTACCTCCTGCCCCTCCTTATCCCTGGCAGCTGCCCCTTTTGGAGGAGCAGACCTGGCTGGGCTGTGGGGAGACCTGGGAGCTGCATTTGGCAGAGCAAGGGAGAGACTTGCCCCTGCAGACCCCTGGGCTACTGAGGGGTGATGCACAGCCAGAGGGGCAATGCCCACCCATCCAGGAGAGGCAGCCAGCAGAACAAGTCCCACACACTGGCTGCCAGGCCCTAGAGAGCAAAACTCCTGGTCAACCTTCTTCTCTGCCACTCACAAGGCTATAATGTAGCATCCTCACTGTCACTGTGACTGGCCCTGCTTTGCAGGTCAGGGCACTCCACAGATGTTCTTGAAATCCCCTGAGATGAGGGTCAGGTGTTCTAACGTCATAAACCATGCGGGGACAGACAGGTACAAAGGCTTGTGGGTGTTCAGTGCAGACTGCACACCTTGAATAAGAGCCTGATGGGCACCAGGCTAAACCTTGTGCCTACAGACACCTTGGAGACGTAACCATGGTCAGCACCTGGGATTCCTAGGCCATACATAGCCAGGAGAGCCACAGGCTGTGTCCAACAGCACCAGCAGGGTGATTCTGGGGTTAGATCCAGGTCTGGTTCACCTCTCCCCTGTTTGAGGGGATGAGCACCAGCCCTTTCCCACACCAGCAGCTCTCTCATTCCCACACAGGGACCTCTGCCTTCATGTGCTTTGCAGGTCGGTTGTGCTGAGGGTGAGGCAGTGAGGAGAGGGCTCCAAGTGGATGGGATCGAGCCTCTGGAGTGAAAGTGCCAGCACTCTCACTGTCCTAGGGATTTGTTAGGGTGGACCTGCAGGTCCTGGCAGCAAGACTGCTGTCCTGTAGCCTAGGAACTATTTTCAAGGCTGGATGCAGGTGGGGGTTGAAAGCTGGACATCAGGGTTGTTTCCAGTGGAGGTCTAAGGAGGATGGGACTAGGTGCATGTGTCAGCAGGACAGCTCCTTCTTGGAGGCTCTTGGGGCAAAATCCCCAGCCTGTCAGCTCCAAACTCTGGACAGACAAGGGGCATGCCATTCTTTGGACCAGGTTTGATTCTGCAGCTTGCTTGCTTGATGTTGACCACCATGTCCTCCCGTGGTGGCCCAGAGGCACATAGGTGGCTGCTGCTGCAAACCTCATGTGCAGCCAGCAGCCCAACCCCACTGAACCTGGCTATGGGGCTGGGGATCGCTGGAAGCAAACAATTCCCTGCTGTGACCCTTATCCTACAGCACCAGTGTGGTCCAGGAATTACTGGTTATATAAAAGTCATAAAGCCATCAGGCTTTATGTGAGCAATGGGAAGTGCCAGGCTCCTCCCAAGGCAACATCATAAATCCTTTTGTGCACATGAGAATATCCACTGAGCTTCACAGGCCCTTTTCATGTTGAACGTATTCACTCATCCTCCTGAAGAGCCCCTGGCATGTTGGCATCCCACCAGAAGCAGGAACATAACAAGTCACTGGATGGTCACGTGCAGGCTGAGCAGTGAGTGATGGGTGGTGACCCTGGCACAAAGATGTAGTGACATGGAAACATTTTCGAACAGCAACTGGATCCAGGACAATGCAGGTCAGGGTGAGTGAGGGTGGCCATGGGTGACTCAGGATGCTCTGGGCTGTGGTGAAGCCAGCACAGCACACACAGCATGTCCATGGCGGGAGGAAAACCAGCCCTGTAGAGGGCTAAGGCTCTGCACTGCCTGGGTTTCCTCCAGCCCACGAGTGCTGCAGCTTGGAGCTGGGAGTAGAGCACGGAATGCAGGGAAAGAGTGGGTGGCACAGGGAACTGAGCAGCTGTGCCTGCAGTAGGGAAGGTATGTTGAGTGAAGGGAGAGACTGCTCCCACCCTGCCTGTGGCCACACCTGGAAAGTGGGTGCAAAGGACAATGGGCAGGACACATGACTGGGGGCTGCACAGCACTGGTGGGTGGTGGGAACAGGAGGTGGGTGGGGACAGCAAGTGCTGAAAATGTAATTTAGGAGAGGGGGAAAAGGGATACCCCATTGCAAAAGAGGCATCATCCCAGTGCTGGGAATGCTGATGTGCCCTGGGTGTCCCATTCTGGGGTGCAGACAGCAGGATCCTTGCTTTGGAAGAGGGAGAAGCTGCTTGTGGAAACATAGGGATGGTAGGATGACTGGCCAACTTCAGTCACCCATCTGGGGCTCTCTGCTCCTTATAACAGGTCTTGGGACCCCCTCATCATACCTTTTGTGTCTCCTCAGCCTGTTCCATTGGGCTCCCATTGGGCACAGTATTACAGGCAGGAGTGTGGGCCACGCTGGGATAGGAGTGCTCCTTTGAGACTGCACTGTAGCCCCACGCTGCTTGAAGGGGTAAAGGAAGATAAACAGGGTCCCAGTTACAGTTTTTTCTACCCCAGGAATATGCTTGTGAAACCATCTGCTTTTTTTTTTTTTTTTTTTACTCTTTCTTCTGTCCTGCACTTGCAGCTCAACAAACCGAGTTGCTGGTTATGATTTCAGCTTGTGCATGGCAACCCCTGCTTGCAGAGCAGCCATGTCCCTGAATTGGTGACCCAGTTCCCAGAGCAGCAGGACTGCTGGGGCTGCCAGCTGCTTGCCAGTATGTCAGCTGGACCATGTGGCCTTGCCCTGGTCCCTGGAGCAGCCAGCAGGTTCACAACTTCGAGCCCTGGCTTCATCTGAAAATGTGTGCCTTCCTCACAAAGCTGTGGGTGGGCTGGAGACTCACTGCAGTATTGCCTCAGGGGCAGGAGCAGATGAACGTGAGCAGAAGCTGCTGTGTGCAATGGACTTCAGCATCTGGAGTGCCCAAGGGACACTGCTGATTCCCATGGCTGGGGACACAGCTGCCCTTTTGGGAACAGCTGCTACCCTGCAGCCTTCACACCACTGAGAGCCCACAAAAGCCAACCCACCCTTAGGAGCACACGCTTTCCTAGGGCTGTTTATTGTTTGTACCTAAGACCGTTCCATCAGCCAAGACAAGCCAGGTCCCACAGTGCTCTGTCCACAGCACATCTGAGACCTCGACACGCCGGTGCCCGTGGGCACATGGAGACCGCAGTGCTCCGTGCTCCTGTTGGACCTCAGGGGCACCACAGAGCCCCACAGCTGCCGTGTGAACTGCAGGGGGGGTTAGCAAACCTTCCAGGCACCAGGAATCCTGGAGATGTCCAAAGCAGGAGAGCATCCTGCCCAGCCCCTTGCTGTGTCTGCACCGAGGGGCCGTGGCAGTGCGTGGCAGGACAATGTCCGTCTGTCCAGAAGGCCCTGTGTCACTGCTCACATCACGTGGGGTGAGTTGGTGACAGTGCCAGGGTAGGTCACTGCTCGCTGCAGGGCTCGCTCTGTGCCAGGAGTCCCACAGGGCTCTCACCCCAGCTCCCTCCAGGGCCCCAGAGAGGGGGAGGGCAGGATCGTGCCAGGAAGGGCTGAACAGTGTTAGGGCTGGTTCTGGGTGATGATGTCCTGGATGCAGGAATACAGGAACATGTACTGGTCCTGCAAGAGAGAAAGGGGAGTCAGAGTCAGCTTTCTGACAGAGACCTCCTGCTCACAGACTAACTCTGCAGTTTGCCTTAAAAAATCCTAATTAAGGAGCAGTGTTTGATAGCAGAGCAGGATTTGCTCTCCCAAGTGGTCCATGATGGTCCTGTGTCACCACTGTTGCCCAGAAAGGAAGAATCAAGCCTGTTGCACCATGTTGGTTTCCCCCTGCTTCATCCCCCCATGATGGAGCTGAGAGGAGCACCCCATCTGAGACGGGGAGGAACAATCCAAGTGCCCCAGTGGCTTTTGGATGTGCTGTGGTTGCATCCAAAACAAGAGCAAAGAGCAACTCCAGTGATGCTGCCAAGCATGGAGCTGGATGGAGTGCATGGGGTTCGCTCCCAAGGCTGCAAGGGAAGTGCCCCTGGAGCAGGAGTTTCCCTTGGTGTAGTCCCAGCATACCTGAGTCAGGTGCTGACAGCGGATGAGGGCAGATGCTTGCAGGCTCTCAGAGGTACACAAAAAGATCTGTGTGGTTTTAGCCCCGTTGCATTGTTTGTCTCTTTTTAAGATCACCAAAATGATCTATCCATTCCAAATGTGGCTTCAGAGGTCTCAAGTCCCCTGTGGGTTTGATATGAAGTTCTGCCCAAAGGCCAGGCTGCTCCAAAATGACACCAGGCTACAAACACCCAGGACTGACCAGGCAGGCTCTGAGGAAGGCGAGATGTGGGGAAGGTGAATGAAGCTGTATTCAGAGGACAGAGCTGGAGGGCAGGGCCAGCCAGCAAATGGTGCGGGTTGGAATCATGTGGCAGTGGGCAGGGGGGATTAGGGACTCATGGAGGGGCCTCTGAACAGCTGCTAATGCGCTGGCTGAGCCACAAGTCACGAGGAGCCTCCTCCCTGCAGCGGCGGGTTTAGCCCCACGGAGGGCTGGGAACTCCACAGATCACACAATGGCTGAGGCTCCAGGTCACCAGAGCACGTTTTCAATGCGCTGGGTCTGATTGTGAAATCTGCAGTGACAACCCAGGGTTGACTTCAGCCCAGGCACACTCAGTGCCTGGCCACATGCAAGAGCACATCCCCCGGGACACGCACCGTGCTGGAGCTGCTGGTGCTTAGTATCCATGGATTATCCATCAAAGGTTCATCTTCCTCCTTGTTTCCCCCCAGAAAAAATCAACTGATGCCCCCGGCACAAGAGCAGCATGCCTCCACCAGAGATAAAGGGGTGCTGGCGAGCCCCTGCAGGGATGGAGGAGGCTGGAGGGCAGCCCCGCCGCTCCCCCCGCCGGCCGTGCTGTGATCCGAGTCACCTCTGCTTGAGGTGGGAAGGCAGCTCCTCTGCTGCCCCCCTTCAGCGGGACAGTGGAGTTTGATGGGCATTTGCTGTGCCTTTTTGGGCACATTGTGTCCCTGCACGGCCAGACGCTGTGGGAACACAAAGCAGCTCTGAGGCGGGGGCAGCGGACGCCTCGCCCTCCTCAGGCTCCCGCCATGCACATGGTTCACATTAATTAAGAATGCAATTAGCTTCTTGAAGGAGGCTCTGCAGCTCGGAAGCCGGAGGGAGATCTGGCCCAGTTCTGCTGTGCCCTGTGGGGAGTCTTTCTAGGGATGTGCATGAGCTCATTCAGCAGCTGCAGCAATTGAAGCGCTGTCCAGAGGCGTCGGTGCCATGGGCACAGCGCTGCACGCTGAGGCCTGCAAGGCTGGGCTGCCACGGCACAGCTGTGGCACCATCACAGTGCCATGGCCCACAGGGCACCTGCTTTTGTGGCAGCGTGTCCCCCTGGCAGGCAGCCCTGGCTGTGACAGCAGGCTCTGGCTCTGGGGGATGTGGCAGGAAAGGCACTGGACCGGGGCAGAGCCAGCAGGTCCCGGGTCCCCAGGCTGACAGCCACGTCCAGGCACCAAGGGTGAGCAGGCAGGTTTGTCATGTGGGATGACACCAGTGCTTCACACTCTCCAGGATATAATGAGAAGAGTGCCTTGCATTTACTGTGAGCTCACATACAATTTAACTGATCTTAACTCCAGAACTGAGAAGATGGAAAACTCTGCCCTGGGAGAAGACAGTGCCCTCAGCAGCCGGCAGAGCCACAGGGTGGGGAGGAAGCATGAAGTAAATCCCTGCCTAGGCTGGACAGGGAGCACCTGGGAGTGGGCAGGATGCCACCAGCTCCAGGCAGTCAGCACAAAGGCTCTGCTCTGCCCAGCCCTCCACCCCTTCTCCTTCCCACCTACCAGAGTCGGGGTCATGAGGCAGCAGCTTCGGGCCAGCTGGAGGGTCACGCCATAGATGTCCACGATTCTCTCAGCTTTCATCTGGTGCAGCAGGCAATCCAGGGAGATCAGCGTCCCTATCTGGCTCATGTCACCACTGCAGGGGACAAGGGAGGGTCACTGATGCCTGGTCAGGCTGAGCTGAACCTCTTTGAAAGAGGGCACCAGTCCAAGAGACAGTGTTGGCACTGTAGGACTGTGAGCTCTCTCTGTGTGCAAGCAGGTGAGGACGTCAGTGCTGCTGCTTGCAGGATCCCAGCAGTCAGTCCAGGAATGGCCTGGGCACCTCAGCCTGGGAATGCCTGCTCCACCCACACTCACCCCTGGCCCAGCCCTGTTTGCCCTCCCTGTCCCAGTCCTTGGCAGAACACTGCTCCCTGTGACCTCCCAGGCTCAGAACTTCCCCAGGCTCCCATGGACCTATTCTCAACATGCCCCAAAGCCTCAGGTCTGTGGTGGAGGGGAAGGCTTGCTGGCACCACACCAAGGAGCTACAAAGCCTGGTAGCTCCCAGTTCAGGGAGGCTGCCCGTGGGTGGAGGGTAAGCAGGGGTACCTGCAGTGCAGCAGGAGAGGACTGGTTCTCCTCCGGTGGGGCAGGCACCGTCTGACAGCCGTGAGCAGCTCTACCAGGCTCTGGACATCAGGCTGCTTCTTGCTGCTCCAGAGCGTGTACAGGAACATCTGTACCTGCCTCTCCTTTGCTTTCTTCTCCTGGTGAGACACAAAGAGCTGACATGTCCGTTGGGGAGGGATGGGCGACTTCGGATGCTGAGGGGTCCCAGTTCTCCCATCCTTAGGCTCTCTGATGCTTTCCTGAGCTTACTGCCAGCTTCTGTAAAGCTGTCCAGGCATCTCTGCTGGGGCACTGCCCACCACCCACACAGTGGGTACAGTGACTCTGGCAACCTGTTCTCCTTCCCACGGCACCCCAGCCTGCCCGTGATGAGGGGACTGAGAACTGTGTGGGCCTTTTCAAAGAAGGTCAGAAAGACCTATCAGCAAGGGGTGGGGAAAGCCCCCAAGGCTTCTCTGGTGCATTTCCTGTGTCCACTCAGTTCTGGATGTTGCAATCCAGACTCACTCCTGCATTTCTGGACTGCTGGCACTCTGCTCTTGCAGCCTGGAGAAGTCCCCAGAAACCTTTCAGCCCCTACAGGGCCCTACAGACACACTCCATCCCAGGAGGTGGGAGCCAGGACAGCCCCATGGACACATACGTGCTTCAGTTTGAGCTGGGTGCATCTCCATCCCGAGACAAGCTTCTCTGTGCCACTCTGGATGGTCAGTGTCTTTGTGCAGAGTGAGTCTCCTTCCAGGGGCCAGCATGCCTCACCTTGGACCTGTGTGCAACAGCGAGTTTGGCTTCCAGTGGATGGCCATTGTCTGTCATACCAGTCACTGTCTTAGGGGCCTGTGGTGGGGTTGGACCAAGAGCACCCCCAGCATCTCTCCATCTCAGTTCATTCTGAGACCAAGGAGTTTTGGGAACACCAGCAGGTTCAGCCAGCTCCTCTGAGAACCCAGAGCTGCCTGGCAGTGGGAACCTGCTCAGACAATGTCTACACCTTGGCTGGGGAGAGCAGGAGCTGCTGCCCTTGGTGCCATGCAGACACAGCTTGAAGGGCACCAGCTGAGTCCAGGCATGGGGGACAGGCAGAACCCGTCTCCTGTGACAAGCTGTGGGAGCACCTGGACACAGGAAAGGTCCAGGTAAGCTGGACCTAAGCTGGATTTGCACCCAGGCCTCAGGAGGCACTGAAGAGTTCCAGGAGCTATGCTAATTCCAACTCCATTGAACAGATCCCTGCTGGGCCATGGCATAAGTGGGCACAGTGCCTTACCTCCCCCTTGTCCTGCCATAGGAGAAGTGTTAGGATGGTGTGAACATCCTGTTCCCACACCAGGGTCCAGAAATCCTCCATGGTCAGCTTGTCAGGGCCCTGGACAGCCAGATAGTCCCTGCTGGAGTTACAGCCCTGGGTGGGAAATGGGAATGTCACTCTCCTGCTGGAGAGCATGGCACAGGTGCCTTGTCAGCCCAGGTGGCTGCAGGAGAGCCAGGAAGAGAAGGGAAGCTCAGCAGGTCAGGAGGCAAGAAGAGAGAAGAAAGCACTGAGGGAGGGAAGTGAGGACAGCCCAAACTGGGCAGATGAGGGAAGACACATTCTCAGTGCTTGCAGTCCTCTCTTGTCCACAGAGGACCAGAGTGACCAGTGGAGCAGTGCAGGACCCAGCAGGGAGCAGGGACATGGCGAGGATGGGGGACCAAGGCACCAGGGTGGGCACTGGTGCTGGGAGTGTGACTCACCGGGACACGCCACACCTGCAGGAGTCCTGAGGAAGGACTCTGTTCCAGCAGGGAAAACTTCACTCTGGAGCGATCATCTGCAAAATAATGTGGGAGCTGGAGGGATCCAGGGCACTCTTGAGCTCACACAGCTTCTGCAGATTGACTGCAGAAATCCAATGCCCCCTTCACCATTTCTTGGCAAAGGCACTCCCTTCTGCAGTGCTTGTTTCCAGCCTTGGCTCTCAAAAGAAGGTCTCTATCCCAACCTCCTACTCAAAGCCAACACCTTTAGTGCAGTGTCTGAGCCAATGGAAACCTGCCTGTCTCCAAGGATGGAGACCCTGCTCTGGGCCTCTGTTCCAGTGTTTGACCACCTGCATGGGAATTCACTATTTCTCCTGCTGAGTTGGATTACCCTTCCAAATCACCCCCCTTGCCTCTTGTCCCTCCATGGCACACCTCTGAGAAGACTCTCTGTTTTCCCCGTGCCTTCCCACAGGGAGCTGAAATCAGCAATAACATCTCCCCTTTGCCTTCACTCCTCCAGGCTGAGCAAACCTACCTATCCCCATCCCAAACCACGTGCTCCATCCCAAGCACCTCAGTATTCTTCTAGTGGAGTCACCACAGTCTCAAAGTACTTTCTTACGTTGTGGACCACCGGCCCTGCTCCAGCCTGGCTCCACACACGAGGAAGAGGAACAAGAAGGAAGAGGATGCAAAGTGTCACGGCACTTACATGGGAGGATGCTGGAAGGGGGCTGTGTCTGCTGGCTGCCTGAAGGTGGTGATGCAGAGCTGGCTTCTTCTTTGACAACTTCCAGGAGGGTCTGCCAGAGTGAGAGAAGGTGGAGGGAGCAGTGAGTGGGAAGGGTCAGGAGGAGAAGGAACTGGGGACTCCTGAGGACACTTGGACTTTTCACTGGGGAGGTCATGGCTGCACGTGAAGAAGCCTGGGCAGGGGTGCCATGAGACCACCTCTGGGGTGGGCTGCCAGGTCTGTGCCATGCTGTCAGGAGAGGGCTGCTGGTGTCCAGGTAGGTCCCTACTCGGCACTGGACCTGGGAAGGAGTGGGTCATGGACTGACAGTGATCAGTGCAGGATGTGTGAGGGACGAGTTGCCTGGGGATGCAATGCCATGGAGAGAGGACACTGCCAGGACACCCAGGAAACTTGGAAACCAGGGCATGGGACCCACTCAGGAGGCACTTATGGGGTGTCCCCCACCCTGACCAGGTGCAATCACTCCCCAGGTTCCCCCAGCACATATAGCCATGGCAGCGCTCCCTGTACCTGCCCAGGACAGCTCTCACCTCATACTCCCTCAGGAAGCCCAGGTGGGACTTGGCTGCCTTCTGGGAATAGTGCTGGGCAAAGTTCTTCAGTGGGATGGGGCAGGACCTGGGAAGAGAGCCAGGGCATAACAGTGAGGCTGAGCTCACTCAGCAGCACCCAAGCTGTGTCTGCAGCAGCTGGACAGGGCTGTGAGCAGACCTGCACCCCTCAAATGCCAGGGGTCTCCCAGATCTCCAGCCCAGCTGTGGCCCGTGACAACGTGCTCTCCCCCAGACAAAGGTAGGTCTCAGGTGTGGCACAGCCCAGGGCTCATTCCCAAGAGGCAGTAAGGACAAAGACGTCCTGTTCTGCATGAGAGAGGGGACAATCTGACCACAAAGATAGGTACATGCCCTTCAGAGGTAGCCCCCAAGACAATGAGGTAGGTGGCCAAAGCCATGCCCAGATGGACATTGCTCCATCCTCTTGGCCTCCATTAGGAGGGACATCCCAAGGCCACCAGCTGCCATGAGGCTCTCCAGTTTGAACCTATCTCTAGGGCAACCCTGTGGGCTGGGAAGGCAGGGACTGAGAGAAATGCCTTCCCCAGGACAGCTCTGCAGATCTTTGGCACTGGCAAAGATCTGGCCCTTTGTTCTGTGCTGGGCTCCCCGTGCTGCAGGGAACAACCAGCCCTGTGCTGACTCCACTCAAAACACCAGGTGGGATGGATGGTTGGGCTTCCCTGTCCTTCCCTTCTGTAGCCAAGGTTCAAGCTGGGGGCTGGATCCCAGCTTGCTGTCTGGAGGGTTTGTGGATTGGGGTGGATAGAGTGGTAAAGAACAGTAAGCCCTTACCTCTCTGTCCCTGATAAACCCAGGAGAGGTTCCTCCAAGATCTTGTCCAGGATACAGCTGTGCAGGAAAATGTACTGGGACTGGAAGGCAAAGGCAGACAGCAACACAGACCATCACACTACACAGACAGCATGAGAGGGTGTGTATGGCACTGCCTGGTGGGCAGAGGGCTCCTACATTCATGCCCTAAAAGCCCAGGATTTGTGCCCAGAAGGCAGTCTGAGAATCCCACGATCCCGTCAGGTCTCTGTCCATTCTGACACCTTGTCCCAGCCTCAAGGACTGAAGATATGAGACAGACTGGGGAGCATCACAGGCCAACAACATGGTGTGGGTTAAAAATTGTCTGCAAAGGGCCTGATCCTGTTCCTCAGTGCTCTGGGGTGTTTCTGAGCCTCCTGGGAGGTCTCTGAGACTCTGTGGGTCTAGCAGGGCATGAAGCCACTGAAGACCCCCACTCAGCAATTTCCACTCCAGCTGAGCTGCTGCTTAGAGAGGCACCATGACACAGGGACAGGCTGGGGACCAGCCTGGGGGTGCTGTGGCTGGCCAGCCAGCTCATCCAGCTGCCAGCCTGGTGAGCTTCAATGCCATGGAGCGAGGGGCCAGGGGGAAGAGGGAGCAGAGGGAACAGAGGTCTCACCAGCGTCTGAATCATCTGGTACCGGTTCATCCGCAAGGTGTAAACAACACCAAAAATGTCCACCATCTTCTCCTGCTTCATCTGCTGCAGCAGCCGGTCCAGGGCAATGAAGGTGCCAGTGCGGCCCACGCCAGCACTGAAAGAACACACAGCAAAGCTTAAACATGGCCAGACACCACCCTTCTGGCAGCTAGACACGCTCCCACAGGCTGCTCCCTGGGTACTGTCCGAGCACCCCCAGGCACTGGTCCCAGCACAGCATGGGACTGAGGAGCCATTCAGGCTGCCCTGGGTTGGTGCTCACAATCTCCACCTGCCCCATGCCCTGGGGCTGTGGGCAGGCAGCCAGCAGACCTATATTCCCCAGCACCCTGAGCAAGAGACTCCACAGATCAGCTGTGTCTCCCAGGCACTGCTTTCCCTCACAGTTTGTGCATGAGATGGACCCTCATCCGCCCCTGCTCTCCCCCACTGTCCCCTCCCACCACCCCCTGGGACAGACCCTCACCTGCAGTGCACGAGGGTTGGCCCTGCATCCCTAGTGCTCTGGATGTGCTCCCGGACCAGCTCTCGGAAGGTCATGATGGACGTCGTGGACTCCGGGATGCCGTGGTCGGGCCAGGCTGTGTAGTGCAGGTGGGACACGTATCGCTCTGCCCGGAGACCCTCCTGCAGGGGGGGTGTTGGTGGTGGGTGTGCAGCCCCTTGGGACAGGGGCAGACTCGCATCCTGCAGCCCTGGGAGCACCTGGGTGCTTGAGGACACCTGGCTCAGCTGCAGGGAACAGCCAACACCAGGTCTGCTGCACTGCCTGGTGGTTCCTGCTCCTCCTGCTCCCCCACAGCCCCCTGCCACGCTGGGACACATGGAGGTGGGAGGGAGGAGGCCTGCCTTTGACTGACAGGGAACATGCCCTGGAAGCATGTGGAGAGGAGGGTGACACATGCTGGACACCTGTGTCACCCATCTGAAGCAGCAGCCTGCTCCCCAGGGCCTGGGCCTTCTCCGAGCCCCGAACATGGCAGGGAAAGGAAGTTATGCCACCACCTCCAGCGCCTCCCACGCAAACCCCCAGCCCTCGACAGGTCCCCGTGTCCCCTTGAGTCTGTACTCACGTGCCACAGCTTGAACTCACGCATGGTCCACTCCTCAGAGCTGCTCTGTGTCAGCAGGTGGACCTGCACCTGCCCGTAGGAGACTGGGGCGGATTCCGACGGCCAGTAATGATCACAGAGGACCTAGAGCACAGGCAGAACAGGGGCCCAGTGAGGCCAGTGAAGGCCCAGATGACCTTCTGGTTCCCTGGGAGTATCTGGAGAGCAGCAGCTGTGCAGGGAGCCAGGACAGGTCTTGGGGAGCAGACAGGGCTACTTCCCCTCCCCACTGGGAGTTTTGCGTGGCTCTCCCCCACCGCCCCTCTGCTTGGATCTCAGCCTCCTCCACAGAAAAGGACCTGTGCAGGTCTCGTCATCCCTTGAGACTGAAGGAGTGGTCCATGGGAGATGGCTCATCCAGGGGATGTGGCAATTTCAGATTCTGCAGAAATATCTGAGGGCAATGGGCATGGTCCTAGCTAAGCTCCACTTCTGGCCCCACCTGCCCCAAACTAAGGCTCAGCTGCACAGATGTTCCCCCAAACTGCCTGTCAGGGAAGCTGTGTGGTCCATGCTCACCCTGGAGGCACACTGGAGCAGGGATTTTGTGAAGGGAATGAACCCAGCTCTGGGCTCAGCTCACACCCCTGGGCTGGGCTGGGCTGAGGCTGGCACCGACCTACCCGCCCGTTCTCCATGCACACTGTCAGCATGATGATGTTGCAGACATTTTGCTCCCACACCAGCCTCCAGAAGTCCTCTATGGTTTTCTTGAGGGGCCCCTGGGTGGCAATGAACTCCTGCTGGGATGTGTAGCCCTGGGTGAGAGGCAGATAAGAGCAAGAGGAGTTGGCAGGTGGACAGTCAGTGCCTGCCTGGTCTGCTTTTGTGGTTGCCCTTAGTCCACATGGACACAGTTCCCAGGCAGCTGATCTCAGAAGCAGCTGATTTCACAGAAAGCATGTGCTGCCCAGCACGTGCTCTCTACACATTTGGGATAAAGAAGTGACCCACACTGCTTCCCTCCAAGCAGTTCCTCATTTTGGCCTAACCAGAGAAAGACAGATCTGGGTCTTCCCTGTGCTTCCCACTCACAGCTGAGGGTAGGGTGAGCATGCAAGGTCTCAGGGTGTTTCTCTGCCCTTGAACACACACATGCTCTGAGGATACACACACTGGCACATGCATGCTGTGTGCCCTGCCTGTTACCTGGGAACAACTCCCGGATGGGAGGTGAGGGCACAGCTCCAGAGTTGTTCAAATGCAGCTGCACAGACCAGAAGGAGAAAGAGCAGGCAGACACAGGCAGTAAGCTGGGAGGTGAGGGAAGAGGATAGATAGTCCACAAGAAGAAAGCAGAGAGCCTTGCCAGTCTCCCCACACTCACACCTCTGCGTCACAGCGTTTGTCATCTGACAGGCTCCATCAACTCCTGCTGAAGGGCAACTACACATCTCTGCCTGACCCCCAGCTTCTCGATGGCCTGTGCCAGCTGAGCCTTCACCAGCAGCTCGTGCCCACCAGCCCTCACAGAGGAGGGCACTCTGCCTCAACCCAGGCAGAGTTTCTGTGACAGTGCCCCATGGCCATGTCTCTGTGGGGAAGGTGAGTGGGCACTCACAGGCATGAAGTTGGCATTGATGTAGTCTGAGTGTGGATCCTCCCCCAGCTGGCTCAGCTTGACCCTCGAGTGATCATCTGAAAGAGACCACGCACAGGTGAACCCCCATGGCAGCCCCTCACCAGGATGTAACATGGTGGGAGAAGCCCCAGCAGCTCCATCAGGGAGGCTTCGTTCTCAGCCAGGCACCTTCTCCCTAAGAAGGTGAGCACTGCCTGCCAGCTGGGCTGCCAGGGGATGAGAAAGCAGAGCTGGTGTCATCAGGCTCATCAGAGGAGCCATGGGACACTCATGGACTCCCTTTGGTCTCCAGTTGGGACCCATCCTGAGCAGGGCTCACCCAGCAGCCCGCTGGAGGAGCTGGGCAGGATGGTGGCTCAGCCCTGGCCCAACCATCAAGCCTTGAATCTCCAACAGGAAAAAGGAAACCAAGGCCCATTTCAAGAGTCCTTCTGCTTCCAAGCATTGAACCCTGCAGTGATTCAAGGTGAGCCTGTCCTTGTGCACTGCCATGTGAGCTCCCACCCTGGATGCTGGGGGAGGAGGGAGGAGACAGCACTTACAGGGCAGCACATGGGCATATCTGTTCTTGGAGACGTTTGCTGGTAGCTCAGCCTCCACCTTCGATTGCTCTTTCCCAACTTCCTTCAGCTCCTATAGGACAGGGGAAAGGACAAGCACAAATGTTCCCATGGAGAGCTCCTGGTCAGCTCAGCTCCCTGCTCATGGCCAGAAGCTCTGCCTGGAGGGTAAAGAGGATTACCCCCACACAGGGAAATGCTCCACTCCTCCCTCCATATGGCCTGTGCACTCTGAGCCATGGTGGATTTTCCCACGGCCTTTTCCAACAGCACTATTTGTATTTAAAAGAAAAGCCCAAGAACAAGTACTGGGGGAAAAAACTTCAGATATCTGCCGAGAAGCTCAAAGGATTTTCTGCTGAGCAAACAGAAATATCTTGTGCTGTATCTGCTTCTGCCTCTGTCCTCACTCAGGAGGGCCAGAGAAGGGTGATATGAGGAAGGTTTGAAACCACTGATGGGAATTTGAAAGGTGCTGCAGCATTACAGCCCAGAGCCTGCAGATGCTGACAGTGTGAGCTAGGGAAGGCAGCCCGAGGTGAAGCTCACAGCCTGGCCCTGGAGGTCTGAGTGCTACTCAACCTTCCCTTTGGCTGCAGGCTCTCTTCTAACACTGTCAGGGTGGATCTCATTGCCACCCCACTCATCCTCACCTCCAGTCAGAGCTGGGGCCCTTTGCCCTGTCCTAGTTCACCTCACACCACAGGCAACATGTGTTTAGACCAGAACTCAAACAAAACAGGTTTTCAGCAAAGGAACTGCCTGATCACTTGGCCAATCTTTGGCCTCCAAGGCTGCCTCGAAGGGTGGCTGGATTGCTAGAGATGGGTGACTGTCCCTGGAGAGGAGCACTCCATGCAGGGCACCCAGGAGCATGAGTGGGGAAATCCAGTGTCATCTCTGCGAGGAGTCTCATCTCACCTCAAATTCCTGGAAAAAGGCATGGTTAGCACTTGCTGTCTTCATCTCATAGTACTGCTTGAAGTTCTGTAGAGGAACTGGCCGGTGGACATTTCTGCAGGAAATTAAGTCCAGAGGAAAAGTTGCCTTAGCTACTGGGAAGTCTGGCTGGCCAGTCAGGTGCCACTGAGACAACCCAGCCTTGAGACCTGTGGTACCTGGATGCACACACACAGGGGTGGTTTATAGCCCACATCACTGCCCAGGGGAGTGGGTCCAACAGTTTAAACAGTGGGAAGGGTTTCAGGGTGATGAGGATATTCTTCTGCTGCAGAAGACTCTGGGAGGAGGTTTGGACAATGCACTGACTTTGGAATGGAGCTGGGCAATAAATACTGCATTTGGGAAAGACTGATTTATAAAATAACTGAAGGGAGGAGGCAGATGGATTTTTCCTGAGTGGAGGCATTAAAAAGGAAGTAGGTGAAGGACTGTGGGAGCTGCAGTGGGGACACACAGACAGCAGACTCCAGCACTCACCTCAAGCTGTAGGTCACCATTTCCTGGGGCAGGCTGCTCTTCTTGGTTCTAGAACCAGAGCACAGGAGCTGTTATTTTTCCCTGCAGTGCAGGGATCGATGCCCTGAGGTGTTTTGTGCTGCTGGCTCATGGAGCTCATGGCAGGCATGGCTCCCATCTCCCCTCTGCCTTTGGCTTCTGAGCCTGCCAGGCAAAAGTCCCCCAGCCCACACCTTAAATGTTTTTTAAACCCTGTCCCCGCTCTCCTCCTGGCTGGGCAGTGAAGGTTGGGTATCTCAGCCTGCACTCAGCAGGTAAGATATGGCTCATGCTCACCTCTTTGCTCTGAGCTGTTTCCAGTAAACCAAAGCAAAAATAGTTGCAAGTGTTAGGAGAAATCCTACAATGATTCCAGCGATTATTGGCATTGAGAGTGGAGTTGTATCTGCACCAGATCCAGCAGCTGGAATTAAAAAGAGAGAAGGAAGAGTCAGCAAAGAAGTTTTTTACAATGAATATGGTGAGGCCCTGGCACAAGTTGCCCAGAGACTCTGTGGTTGCCCCATCCCTGGAAGTGTTGCAGGCCAGGTTGGACAGGGCTTGGAGTGTCCCTGCTCATGGCAGGGGGTGGAACAAGATGAGCTTTAAGGCCCCTTTCAACCCAAACCGTTCTGTGATTCTATGATATATGGCTGTATTTATTCTATTTATTATATTTGCTACAGCCTATGAGCTCCCTCTGTCTGGCTGCTATCGGGGTGTTCATTACCTCTAACCTACACAGCCAGGGAGGGAAGATGCCATTCTCTGTCTTACCTGAGAACATGGTGAATGCCACTGCCGGGGCTACTGGGTCATATTTGGTGAAGGCAGCAATGCTGAACCTAGGGCAAAGCAGAGTCCTGTGTCAGGGGCAGCCTGAGCTGAGCACAGCACCCAGCACACAGCAGGGAGGACTCGGGGGAACGGGACCACTGCCTCTGTCCTGGAATGCTGAATTGGAAGAAGATGGTTTTCTGTTAGGAATTTAGGGGATGTGTGGAAATGGTCTTTCCTCCCTTTTCCGCCTCTTGTACAAGTTTGTTCCACTTGGGAGAACATGAAAAAATGTCCAGTAAGCACAAATGGAAAGCAGCTCTCCTCCAAAGGGTTATCTGCAGAGACAAGTGTCTGGTCTCTTCTAGGACACAAATAAGGAAAAACACTTTAGTTCATGTCGACTGATTAACTGGATTGACTGGAAAGAGCTGAGCTCTGTTTGAAACAGGGGCACCCCAGCTGGGAGGACTGACCCAGATCCTTCCTTACACACGCAGAAGTGGCTGGTGTGTCCTCTTCCCTGTGGAGATCTGCCCCTCACCCCTCTCCTGGCAGCGGGCACACCAATCCCCACAGCTCCGCAGACCTGAGCAGGTGACTTGGAAGGACAGGTTTTCTTGTGCCCTAAATGCAAGCCAAGGCTTTCAAAGGTAGCTTTGGATTTTAGCATCCAGGAGTTTGTAGAGCTGCGTGTGGGTCCCCTCTGGCAGCCCCCCGTACCCAGCTGCCAGGGCACTGACCTCCTTGGAAAGTGAGCCTGCAGATGCCATGGCGTGAAAGATGAGGGCTTGTGGTTAAAGAACTCACTGAAACACAGGAAACAAGGGTGAAATTTCTGGGTGGGGATGGGCTGCCAGCTTTTCACCGCCCTCAGAATTATTAGGAGAGCAGCACAGTCTACTGAGGATCTTTAGGTACTTAGATTGAGTGTTGCACGTACTGAAGATATTCAGGTTGGCTATTTAGGATATTTAGGTTGAGTGCTGTTTGTACTGAGGACATTTAGATTGTTTAGGGCAGCCAAACTGAAAGCAAGCTGTGAAGAGGTGCGAAAGGATCTTGTAGTCCAGAGTAACAGGACAGTTAAGTACATGTTATTGAATCACAGTAGGTGGACTAATGACAGCCTGATGTCCCCGAATGAGCTGCTCCCCGGGAGGTCCGTGTTGGAGTGAAAACTGGGAAGAGGGAGGGCAGGTACAGAGCCTGAGCCTGGCTCGGCAGCGCCCGGGTGTGGAGGGGTGTGCTGGTGTGGTTGTGCTGTTGTTAAAGTCCCCTCGACGCTGTTTACAGACCTCAGTCTGAGACTTGTGCCCTGCTGTCCCCTCTCCAACCCCAGTTGTCCCCTCTCTATCCCCCCAGACCTGAGGCTGAGGGGTGAAGCAGTAAGTTCTGCCCACTCACCACAAAACTTATGGTTAGATTTAATTCTGCCTGTGCTCCCGGGGGAAAGGGAAGCTCTCTCTCCCATGCACACGCTGTCTCACAGACTTTCATTTTCTTTTCCCAATCCTCTCACTGACCTGTCAGCCACCCTTGCTGCAAGTTTCTTTAAACTGAAATGGGACAACCTTCCAGATTCTGGAGGATCAGAGAAATGCCTACCACTTGATGAAACTGTGAGCTGCTAAATTAATGGGACTGGCTAAAGATATCGTTCTTTGTTAGTAGTGGAAAACCTGATTTAAAATCAAATGTTTAAAGGTACCCTATAACAAAATCTGTACCTTCATGTTCCTGGATTCTATTTAGTGTCAAATAAGACTCTGAATTTATGACTATTGGGATCCGTGTGTGTGTTTCTCATGGGGAACTTGAACCTTAGCCTGAGCATTTTCTACCCCTAACCCCTGAGCCTCCCACTGAGTAGGCACCACTCAAACTACTGTTTCTGAATTGGTTTTATTTTTGTGCCACCTGCACCTGGCTCTGAGTCACAGACAAAAATCCTACGAAGAACAACATCCGGTTTAGTTCCTACCCTGAGGGTGGACATCCTCCCAGCTCCCGAGGTAACACCCACAGCCCTTGGCAGCCTCAGCTCTCCCTGCCCACTACACTGTCTAATATCCCCTGCATGCCAGCCCCTGCCTCCCTCAAACGCTGCTTGGTGGAACAGCCCCTGAGGATCTGAGGGGTACAAGGGTGAGGTGACGTGGAGTTTGCTGGTGGCACCTTGCAGGGACACGTGCAGTCCCTTTTCTCCTCCAGCCCCTTCCCCTCAGGAGGGATGCTGACATCTCTCACCTGTACTGTTTGTCGGCTTTCAGCTTCCCGTTGCACGTTGCCCTGGACTGGCCGCACTCCTCTGTTCCCACTGGCACTCGCCAGGTCTCAAGGGAGCTCCTCTGGTGGAAGGGATTGGGTATGAGCACTGCCAGGTAGGAGTCCTCTGTCCCATAATAGTGGTCATACCATGTGCTGGACATGATCTCCTGGGTGGGCCTCAGCACTGGGGGAGAATGTACAAGGCGACAGTGGCAGTCCCAAAGTGACATCCGGGGAACCAGCTACCCTCCAGGGAGACACTGGGAGCAGACTGGGACGTGCAGGGACACTTACATGAGTCATTAGTGGTAGCAATGACACCATAATACTCGATCTGGCCATTCTCCTCACTGAACAGGTCGGATGAAATGATAACTGTGGAGCTGGACTCCACCTGGAAGACGTCTGCACGCAGGGGTGGAGGCAAGGCTGGAAGAGGAACCAGCAAGCACTGCCTGTTAGCCTGTCCCTGCTCCCACAGTCCCACCACACATTGCTCAGCCTGTGACTGGTCCCAGCAGCACTGCCAGAGCCCTGGCCCACTGCAGGTCAGTGCAGGACCATGTGGGGCTCACAGGCACCTGAAAGAGTCCCCAGCAGCAACACTGGGTGTTTTCTCCTGGGGTCTGTGGCAAGGTTGTGGGAAAGAAGGAGACTCACCTTCCACTGCTGTGCTGCATAGCAGAGTCACAGCCTGGCTCCTCAGTGTGTTCATGCCCACAGCACTCAAAACGATTTGGTAGGAGGAGTTTGGCTCCAGCCCCTCCAAACTGGCCTCGTTCACAGGGATGCTCATGATGTACTTGGAGGTGGGAGGTCCATCAGAGAGTCTCTCTGTCACCACCTCATAAGCCTCCACATCTCCAGGAGAGCTTGTCCAGTTCAAGTAAAGGCTCCTTGACTGTGGTAGGCATTGCACATCCTCCACGGGGTTTGGCTCTGCAGAGGAGATAGGGCAGGCTCTGCACTCACAGCATCAGGGAAATCCCAACTTCTACCCCTGTGTCAGCCTGGACCCACACTGGTATCTGCTCCTGAGGTCAGTGAGAGGAGCAGAGCTGGACAGCTGTGACCTGGGAGCCTGCTGTGCCATGGGCCACAGGACAATGGGAATGGGCCAGGGCCTGAGCTGGTGTCTTACAGGAGAAGTCAACCAGTGGAGATCTCTGCAGAGTCTGCTTTGCTTCACAGGAGATGAGAGATATCTGTCATGGGGCTAGCTGAGAGAACCAATGGCTACCAGAGGGTCACATTGCTGGCTTTCCTTATCTCCCACAATAAACACTTTCCATGCCTCTGTTGAAACCCAAGGGCTGATCCAGTCTTGAGGCCACTCACATGTTTCTGCCCCTTCCAGCCTGCCTTGCTCCCTCCCTGTGGCACTGTGTACCCACCTATTGGCACTGCCAAGGACTTGGTGCTGCTCCAGTACGGCCCAGCCACGCAGCTCAAGGACACAGAGTAGTTCCTGCCTGGGATCAGCCCCTGGAGGAGCTGTTGGACTTGCCCTCTGCCCAGGGAGTGCCGCCAGGGCAGAGAGCTGTTCTGGGGGTCCCGCAGCCACAGCTGGCAGTCGTCCTGCTGTCCAGAGACACTGCCCCAGGAGATAAGCATCGTGTTGTTCCCTTCGGCCACCACTGAGAGATTTTTGGGAACTGAGGGGGCTACAACAAAAAACACACCAATGAGAGTTACTGGCATGCATGTGCTCCCTTCCATCCTACAGAGGCACAAGCAGGAGATGGGTGGCACACAAGGAGACTCCACATGTTCAGTGATAACATTCCTGCTGCTGCTGGTTGCCAGAAATGACCTTTAACTGGCAGCTGGAGGACATGCAGAGTGAGGAGTGTGAGGGGATGGGTTCTTCCTCTAGCTAATGAGCAAGTTTCATTAGAGACATGCCCAAAGGGCTCTGCACATGACTTCCAGCACCATACTGGGGGATGGCTGAGCGTGGGAGCAGGGACCGCTGGATTCCCCAAGCAGAGTGCAAGGACTGTGGGGACAAGCACATGAAAAGGCTTATTGTGCTTATCTGCAATTTCCACATTCCTTAAAAACAAAAAAAAAAGCCCATCCTCCCCTTATTCCCTATGCCAGGAATTTTCTGACTGCCTGGGGGAACAGCAGTGGGGATGGTGGGGTGTATCCCCCTGGCTTAGGTCTCATGGTCTCCCAGGCTGTGGGTGTCATCTACCAGAGCAGCTCTACTGCAATGGGATCCCGTGCTTTTGTTCAGCCACCCATTCCCAGAGGAGCCAGCAGGACCACAGCCCAGAGTCTGCCTCCTGAAACAGCAGTTGTGGCTGCCAGGCTCTCCTACAGCCAGCAGTACTGCCTGGCTCTCCCCTCCACCAGGGGCTTGCCCAGCCCATGATCCCATTGCTGTGGTGGTACATTCCACCCCATGCCATGCCATGCCATGCTGTCCCATTACTGGAAATATTGACGATCAGGTCAGACAGTGCTTTGAGCAACCTGATCTAGCTGAAGATGTCAGTGGTGGGGGGATTGGACTAGATGGCCTTTAGAAGGTCCCTTCCAACCCAAACCATTCTCTGATCCTACAGCTCCCAGGCAGCTGTCCTGGCCATGTCCCTGCCCCTTCCCACTCCAGGTGCTGAGCCCACCCAGCTGGGAAGGCTGAGCCTCGTGCATGATGCAGGACATGCAGCTCTGGCACTTACTTGTCCAGTCACTGATGTTCCCCGCGGACGCTGTGTAGGGCCCTGCCACAGACACCACTTCCAGCAGGTATTTGTGTCCTGGAGCCAGGCCAGAGAAGGTGAACTTGCTGGTGCCTTTCCCAACAGAGACATTGGCTGCCAAAACACCTGATCCTGAATGATACAGGAGGAGCCTGTAACTGTCTTGTCCTTGGGGTTCAGCTCGCCAGGACGCGCTCAGCCTGTTGGGATACCCCTGGTTCGTCATGTACACGTTACGGGGTGCCAAGGGGTCTGGAGAGACAGGATGGAGATATGTCAACAAAGGGCCTGAGGACATTGCCTGGGTCTCTTGGCAGTGCCATCAGGAGGGATGTGCCACACTGGACAGGGCATTTAGCCTCGTCTGTGTGGCTGCACCCACCAGCCTGGAGGCAGCTCAAAGCTTCTGCAGGCTTCTCTGTGCCTGCCTGATCAGGCTGAGGAGGGAACACACAGCCAGCTACAGGAGTGGGGAAGGTGAATGCCCCATCTGATGCTCCCTTCTTTGTGGCTCTCTCCTGAAGCATGGCTCTGGAGCTCCAGCTGCCTTCCCCCAGGCTGGTGGAGCTGGTGATGAGGGTGGGCAGAGCTCTGCTCAGTGCCATGGCACTGACATGCCCCAGGCAGGCCTTGGGGGCTGCCACAAGGGTCAGTGTTCTTTGCCATGAGTTTTCCTGACTGCCCAGTGAGGCACCCATGCCCCCAAAAGGGTACTCACATGTCCAGTTGCTGACATTCCCTGCGGGTGTCCTGAAGGACCCAGCCATGGACGCCACCTCCAGCACGTATTTGCTTCCTGGGGCCAGTCCCGTGAAGGTGAAGTTGTGGGCATCTCTCCCGAGCGAGGCTGTGGCTGCCACGGTGCCCAGCCGTGCGTGGAACAGGGTCAGTGTGTACCCCTCTCTCCCCCCGGCCGCGGCGCCCCAGGCCGCGCTCAGCCCGTCGGGGTGTCCCGTGCTCAGCAGGCGCACGGCAGTCGGGGGCAGCGGACCTGGGGAGCATCAGACCTGAGGTCAGGGACTGCACCCCGGGCACGAGGAAACAGACACTCGATGGGACATCGTGCAGCAGGACAGGTGGTCCCCGAGGGCAAGAACTCATAGATCCCCTCTGGCACGTGCCTCCTCATCCTCTTTTTTCTGTCCCCATCCCACCTCAGCTTTAACGATGCTCACCCTTGCTGGTCCCTCACATGTCAGCTCTTCTTCACCCAGGCCACCCTCATCCCTCAGCCCAGTGGGAATGCCTTCACCCTTGCTGCATGCACACGTGTGGTCCTGCACCCAGCTGGAGTGCAGGGCCCAGGCAGTGCTGGCACAGCCTCTGTACTCTGCCCAGCCCTAAAATTTTTCTAGGTGGGTAGAAGTGCTGGATTAGCTCATCTCCAGAGCAAAGACCCATTCTCCTGGGAGGACTGTGGAATGGCCTCTTGTACTACACTGATTCATTTAATGAACCTTTATGGTAACGTGGTTTCTACCTGCTGGAGACTCATTGAGTCTCCTGTAGACAGGGAGTGTACAGGTCACCTGTACAAAAGGTCACATGTACAAAAGGTCACCTGTACACTCCTGTGTTCCTGTACATGGGGAGATGGGTCAGCACGGGCAGGGGACAGAGCTGGGCAGCCCTGTGTGTCATCAGCATGTCAAGCCTACATCATCAGCTTGTGCAAGCCTTCAGGTGAACATCCACATGCCATGAGGGTAACAGTGTGCCCCTGCACCGACTGCTGTGTGTCACCCCTGTGCATGTGTGTGTGCACATCTCCAGAGGCACCAGGTCCCCAGTGAACATCCCAGCCCTCTCCAGGACTGCGCAGTGGTGCGACATCTCCCACCCCTCTGCAGAGGGTACTGCTCTGGTCACTCACGTGTCCAGCCACTGATTTTGGGCGCTGCTGCCTGGTACAGTCCAGCTGTGGCACTGGCTTCCAGGGAGTACTCGTGTCCTGGGGTCAGTCCCGTGAAGGTGAAGTTGTGGGCATCTCTCCTGAGCGAGGCTGTGGCTGCCACGGTGCCCGGCCGTGCGTGGAA